AGAAGAATGCATTTAATGTGGAGTAAAATGCTGCAGAACTCCAGCTACAGCTAGATTAGAGAGCTATTTCCAATTTCAAAAAAAAAGAAAAGATTTGGCTTACTCCATACTTGTGGTACCGTCAACATCTCAATCTAATGTGACACAACAAATACCAAGGTGTAACTATTCTAAAGGCCCTTTCAAATCCTCAATCCAGAAATCATGCCAAGTTCAAAATGTATGATACTTATGTTCATTTTGAACGGATCAAGATTTCTGAACTACGAAAGCTGACCACAGTCCCAGCATTCTTAGTCTTAAACAACTGAAAGCAAAACTCTACTTCTCCCTGTGAGTAATATCGGCTCTGGGTGTTAGTTCTGAATGATCCAACACATACAATATGTTTTGCAACACCACTCACAGTGGCCGGAAAAATACACACCCATCCAAACCTCTCCAAACTGGCCGTTGCCTAGACGTTTGATGAGCTGCAGCGACTCCCGCGGGATCTCCCACACGTCTTTGGTTTTGACGGACAGGTCGGTCAGACGGGGCATGCCTTTGTGGCATGGCACGATCAGGCGGCAGCAGAGCCCCGCAGCCCTGGCTGGATTGACCAAGCAGTTTGAAACCATATCAGAGAAGTATGGAAACACACTTTGAACACGATCGTGTCAAGCTGTTTTTATACATTTCCCCGAGTCTCACCAGAGTAGTGCTGTACGAGCTGCTGCAGCGTTTGAAACTGGGCTCTGGTGGTGATGTAGTAGCCTCCGCTGTCTAGTTTGCGAATCTTATAGTGTTTGACATGATCTCCCTTGATGTCATCCCAGTCTTGGATGGAGAGGGAGTACGCCCCTGACACAGACACAGCACAATGATACAACAGGCTGCAGGATATATATACACCGGTATATATGGGGTGTGTGTAAAACATGCCAGTACATTAGATCAGAGTACCTTTGGTTGTTTCACTCTCACGGATGAGGAAAGTGCCTCTGGCATTGCCGTTGGAGAGCAGTTGCCTTTCTGCATCCTTTCGGCCTAATTTACCAAAATACCAGCTGCACAGAAAGAAGAAGGGATCAAACTATGGAGCTGAATGTTTGGCTTGAACGTTCTTTAAATATTTTGACTTTTATTCTTACTATGTGTTCCACTGTGCCAAACTTAAAAGGCAGCGTGATGAGCCCTCACAAATTTAGGATATGTTCCCTGCTGATGTTCCGTGCTTTGGAGGCAGAGGCAGCCTATGAGTGTGTGGGTGCGCATGTAAACAGTTTTACTCACTCCTCAGCTTGGATCGAGTCCACTGGAGCTACGTAATTGCTGGGAATGTAACCGGTTCCACCTGTAGTGAGAGAACGAGCCTCCCACCAGTCCCCCTCACTGAGGAGAGGAGGGAGAAAAAAAGAGCTGTAGAGGGAGAGCAAAGCCAGAGAGAGAGAGAGAGAGAGAGAGAGAGAGGAAGACATTTACACAATATGCGGACAGGCACAAATCAAATGTAGCGGCCGAACGTGTCTGAGACCTCAGTAGAGACCACACATAGCAAACCACAAAAGCCATCCTGTCACTACTTCGCAGTTTTAAGAAAGTCATAATACACTTCACAAAACACTAAAATGCAAACAATCATTAAAACATGACAAATCCAACACAGCCCACAAACGCAAGGTCGCGTCTCTGTCTGTGCTTGTGAACAAACAAATGCATCACTGAGACATTCACGACAAACAAAACACAGAGGGGGGAGAACATGACCGCCACCCTTTATGATGTCATGCAGATATTTTCACACTTACGTGCTGTTGAGGATCTGGAACCTCTCCCCCTTTCTGAAGCTGAGGTCATCTTCAGTCCTGGCCTCATAGTCATAAAGGGCCACAAAAAGAGTCACCCCTGCAAGAAAGCAAAAGGTGACGTGTGGCGGACGGAGTCGGCAGAGGCGAGTTACATGGGTGAGATATGTTTTTCATTGTGGTTTTCTTGTTGGGTTCGTTCATCTGTCTGACACGACGACTGCTTGTTATGTAATGGTGATAAGAATTACTGCTATTTACTGTATCTTACATCCCATCTGCTGCTTTATTTTAAAAACTTCAAGTAATCACAATTTATGATAGGAAACCTGTGTACAGTATGTGCTTTTAGATACACTTTAAATATTAAAAATATTCTGGATTATATCGGACTCATTTTCAAATTAATTCACACTCACTCAACCAGACATCGCATAATCTTTCTAAACACTCACTAGCAGAGGCAAATCTTGATGGCTTTGTCTGATTTAACGCAAATAAGCAGAGCATCATAACGAAACAGATTTTACTTATTGGCAATATACTAGGATCTCTGTCTAAAAAGGCCGCAGTCATTACAGAGAGACATTTCACTTAGTAGTTGGTGGAGACCCAAACAGAGCTAAAAGGAGAGTGAATATTATGCTCATGTTTGTCACATTCACCATTTCTTTGCTGTCATGTCAGCATTTTGTTTATAGCTTGTTGTGCTGTCCCAAAGGGATCAAAAATAATAATTATAATTTTTAAAAAGTTACTGCAGGTTTAACTTGTAAAAAAAAAAACAAAAAGTCTCTGTTTTGCACCAAAGTTTGACCTTAACCTCTATCAGACAAACTATCCTCCAGGAATGATGAGCAAACGGTTTACGCTGCCAAAGTCTAGAACAAACAGGTCAGTGACATTTATCCGATGTGATGTGGAATGGCCCTCGAGTCCCCGTGTCTCTCGATGAGCCTTGTCATTATTATTTATTTCCATTTCATTATTATTGCTTACTAATTAGTTCCTTGTCGATGCAATGCCCTCTGAAAGACACAGCACCAAATCTGCACACAGTCTCAGAGGGAACCATCATGATGTCAGGTGAGGTTTCCACTCTACTTAAGCCTTCTCCCTCTTTTCCAAACACAGACATGCATCTTGCTTTGCGCTGTCCTCCTGGAGTAATTTCTTATTTATACAAGCTGGTGGTGCCGACTCGGTGCTGGGATCAGAAAAAAGGCCCGATGTAGCTGACATCAAAGTAGTGCTGATCACATACATGTTTCAAATCCTAAAGCTCAATTCTTCACCCTGGAAGCACTTTTGCACTGTTCAGCACAAAGGCTGATATTTCTGGTCGTCAGATGTGCCTCGCAGAGCAGCGGCAATAATTTAGGTCACTCTGTTTTCCATTAACTTGCAGCCAGTGGACATTCATCTTCTGCAGACGGATGAATTTATCATTGCAGCACGGCATCAGCACGCAGAAAACTTCAGTATACACAAGGAAAAAACTATTCCAGCTTTAATGGAACTAATTTTGGATCATGTGACATCTCAGAAACTTGAAAATTTGAAGTGAGAGAAACAGTTTACATATTCCTATTCAAGTGAGATTATAGCCAGACAGTGACTGGTCTTCAGAGACATTCAGAGGTTTACAAATTAAACTTGTTTTCTCTTAATTGCTCTGTTTCGTAATTCGATTTGCCTCCATTCAATTTAACAGCAGCAACATATTTTACAGTCACAATGTCACCGTGTCATAAGGAACAGCTTGACATTTTAGAAGTGCACTTATTTGCTTTCTTAATGAGAATTAGGTGAGAAGATCTCTACTGTCTCGTGCCTGTCTGGCAAATAAGGAGTTTATTAGCTTAGCAAAAGACAGGAAATGGGTAAACAGCAAACCTTCCTCTATACAAAAGGTACTTCTTGGCCAAGTGCCGTAACTTTCTGACATCTGTGCAGTTTGCCCAGTCACCTCAGCTGATGACACGACTTCAGGAAGTAACTGCTTCTAGCCAAGAAGCAGTCCAGAACATAAATTGTAAATTTTTGTTTTTATATTTTTTGTACAGATGAAACAAAAGAGATATAAAATGTTGATTTGTGCACTTTAGATGTGTAAACTGATGGATGCTGTTACTTCCACACAGAACCAGGCTAGATGTTTATGTGCTGTACATTGAATAGTTCTACCAAACTCCTCATCTCGAAGCATATTTCTCAATATGTCAAATTAAAATAGCTACATTTTTCATTATAGTTCACAATGTTAGAGGATTTTTCATCATGTTAGGTGTTTAGCATGACAAAACTGTCTTCAAAGATGTTAAATACTAAATATTATTCTCAAAACAAAACACTGCCTTTAAAAAAAAGCCTGGAAAAGCCAGAACCTACCGCTACATACTAAACAGCTGCTGTGCACATCATACATGCATTCACAGACAGCTAACATCCTCCACATGCTCATTTAGAAGAATTTCTTCAGCCTCACCTGTTCCTCCTCGGGTCCGAAGTGTCCCGGGCTGCGAGGACGTGTGGACGCCTCCAAACACAGTCACCCCCTGAGTGGCAGCACTATGGAAGTTGTTGTAGTTGGGGATGGTGGCGACGCCGAAGCTGGGGTAGTGCTGTGGGGTGGGGTCGGACCCATAGCGATACCCCGAGTTGTGTGAGAGGCTGGTCTCCCGGTCATCAGTGAGTTTTGCTGCTTCTTTATCCTTACATTGGACACAGCCCATTCTCTCCTCTCTCTGAGTGGAAAGAGAAAAAAAGATGGAATTAGTATCTAGATAGAAAAATAGCTCAAATGCCATCTCCATGGGGAAATCGTGATTCAATGTTCCATTATTTCAGAGCCTCTTCTGAGATTCACAGGCAGCCTTCTGAAAAATCTTTCAATTAAATGGAAATTAAACACGATACTTTAAGCTCCATTACTAATTAAACAGAGGGACATAATGTGCCAGAGCTGCAGTGAACGGCTAATGTGATCACTGCTGTAAATACAGCGTGCACACTGAAGATGCGAGATGCTTTCAACTGAGAATATCCATCTTAACTTTCATTAAAAGAATTTAACAGCACTTCTATTCCATTTGCTTTTCCATTTTCTTGCGCAACAACACTTGGAAGTAGAATTTACACCCAGCCAATGAATCTACAAGCAGAGAGGGTAAGACCCTTAACAGCAAACTGCACTTTGGATCCACACTGACTGGATATTTGGTGTCACTACAGCAAAGTTAAACCAGCCTCTGGAATGAGTGAAATCTGCTCAGTTAAACTAATGCACATTTCAGTTCATGAGCCTGGGAAGCTCAGGAAGCTGGACGGCTAGGAAGACACCTCTGACAGCCCCATTGTCTTTCATCAGTATTAGCGGTCAGCTGACCTTGGAGACAGCTGATTGGAAACTTGTTTACAGCTGCTAGGAGTAGAGAAAGGTGACACTAGGGGCAAATGACGCAGGAAAACTAATGCACTGTGCCTAAATCTTAAAAGACTCAGTTAGATCCACAACTGTACAGCTGATTCACTCTGTCAGGTCATTTTTAATGTAACAAAAAGACTGATAATCTAATAAAAAAAAGGCTTTGGAGAATTACACAAGCATGGAAACATTAATTAAACTGACAGATAAAAAAAAAAAAAAGTAAACAGGAGATTCTGGTGGATTTTCTGAAACAGCACTGCCTGTACTCCTGGGGGGAGATCTTGTGTTGTTGTGCTGCCTGTGGGGATTATGAAAGTCTGCCTGCCAGGGACTTGATTGTACAGTATCTGTAACCCTTCTGTTGCACTGAATCTAGGTCATCTTGTATTGTTTATATACATATGTTCCGCTTGTGGTATTGTGTGTGTGTGTGTGTGTGTGTGTGTTTTGTATTTCTTCTGGCACAGAGCAGTACTCTCAGTAAACATCTGCATATTAATAATCCATGTATGCATTCTGTGTTGTAACTGAATATATAGCAGTTTTTCAAACATTCATCACTGGCTTTAAGATACAAGAGACAACTATTCTCTGCTATTCGATCACGTGCTTGAATCGGCACTATGATGACGTCAAAATGCAAAAGGCAACGCCCTGCAACATCAGGATTTTAGGTGGGTGTCTTCTCCGCATTTCAGACACACAGGATATAGTCTGCTATGTCCCTGACCTGAGGCAAAACTGGGTATCGCATGACCACCTCAGCCTGCAAGAAAGCTCATCACGCTATTTTCAGACCTAAATGAACAGACTGCCTCCAAGAGGACTGCACCGGCATGATGGGGAAGGTCTAATGAGGACAGCTACATACGGTGTTGTAACACTTAACAGCACAAGGCAGGGATGAGGGGAAATAGTGGGAGGGCTTGACTTTCACAGACAAACACAGCGATCATATTAAAAGACTTCCTGACTGGCTCTAGATGCAGTCTGAAGTGTGACTTTGATATCTGCCCAAAATCTGTCGTTGAATACCGTTTGTCAACACTGCTGTGAGAGCCCTTCACATCAGGAGAATGAACAGAAGATGCCGGTATTATCGAAACACAAAGTAACAGAACAGGATTAGTGCTACAACTGGAAATTAATTTACAGAAATGAAAGCCTTTATTTTGATGCTGTGTGAGCACAAGTGTTAATCGTCTACAACACACACTGAGCGCTGTAGCCGTAACAAGATACTTGGTCATTCAGAGAGAAGCTGCAGGATCAATATACTAAATTAAAAAGGACAGACATGTGAGGGTTTCCCTGTCTAACTGAGATTAAATTGGAGACAGTTAGTCAGACCTGGGAAACAAACATATGTGCAGTTTGATGCTGTAACATTAACTTAACATTTTATCTTAGAAAACTACAGTGGAAGCTGTATACGCAGTGGTCCAAAAATCAAGCTTAGAAAGAAAGAAAGATCCTTTGAAATTTGGTGAATAGGTTGCTAGACTGTGCTCAGCTGGACATTACATACAGAAATTCATTATTTAACCCCAGTGAACTTACAAATCGCTCCAGACTATGATCACTTTGCAGCTCAAGACAAGACAGGCCTGTTTAATTTGAAATGTGTGGCCCTTTACAGTCAAATCGCCGACATGCCACAATGCAAGGTCCAACCTCCCACGTGCCTCCCGCTGAACTGACACTTAACAATGACCTCATTCTACTACAAAATACAACTCGCTGCACATAATCAAAGACATGATGCAAACAGGATCATTTTCAGTCATGTGCCATTTCAATGCATATTCAACTCGCTGCTGTTTACTGGGTTTAGTACGGCTCTTACAATGTCCTCCTTGAGGCTGCCACTCTCTGAATAGTTACAATATTTGCTTGTGTTGGACAACTGAGTTCATTCAGTGTATCTAAAACAAGACAATGGCCACTTCTCACTCCGCGACAAGAATATCTGCACAGTGCACTGCAGTGTTAAAGCTCTCACAGCATTCTTCGAGGACTGGATGAATAGAGCTGGTTATAAAATCCACAGCTGAGCTTCATGCAGTATGCGCACGTAGGTTTAAGCCTGACTGTGTTCTGGTGTCAGTGTTCACAATTGTTGAGTCATGTTGCTAAATCACTGAGTCCAGTGTAAACACCCATTCAGTCAAAGAGAATCTGTGTTTCACAGATGAGCTTTTTTTTTTTTTTTTTTTTTAATTTATTTAAACCTTAATCAACTTTTTGTTTCTAGAACCAGGAACATATTCTCAGTCCGTGTGCCCTTCAGTCTGTGCTGGGGGGTTTAAACCAGGGGTGTCAAACTCAAATACACAGTGGGCCAAAATTTAAAACTGGGACAAAGTTGCAGGCCAAACTCTATATTTATTGAAATATTGAATAAAATTGAGCATGTTTTCCCTTCTCTCCAGGGAAATGATAAACTTTTTCATATGGAAACAAACTTAAGTTGCTTAAACACTGAATTTGGAACAAGCAAAGCTTAATATTCTAAACACATGAGAAATCAAATGTCAAATAAAAAAACATGTCCCTCATTAAAGGGCCGGGCTACTTTAGCTATCTCTGCTACCACAATAAAACTAGCCTTTACAGCAGCATCACTTTGTGATTTTGCTTTTGTGAACATTTTCTGCCGTGAAACCAGACTTCTTTTCATCTCCTCTACCTTCTGGAGCTTCTGCTTCATGTCCGGCTCCTTGTACTTGTCTTGGTGTTTCGTTTCATAGTGTCTTCTTATGTTATATTCTTTCGTTACAGCCACTTTGGCTCCGCACACAAGACAAACAAGTCTGTCCTTTACATTAATGAACAGATAAATCTTCCTCTCACTTGTTTTGAAAGCTCCTGTTTTCCGTCTTTCGTTTGGCCATTTTTGGGAGGGGTGGATTAAATTTGCCCGCGGTGACTGGTAGCATCAGGTTGTTAATGAATGTCAACAAAAGGTGCTGGTGGGTCTTGATTGACGCGCCAACGCACTAGCAAAGCATTCTGGGATTTGCAGTATTAGCGGTGCATGTGACATATACTGGTGGGCCAGCTCTAATAAACATTTTAAATGATCTCGCGGGCCAAATATACTTACACCGTGGGACAGACTTGGCCCGCGGGCCTGAGTTTGACATATATGGGTTGAACGATTCTTTCCAAATCCCGTTCCAGTAGAGGGCAATGGTCAGTGTAAGAATCTACTGGAAATAATGATGCGGTGAGTCTATGCACGGTGGAAGATTCCTGGATAGAACTGAACAACACTAGAGCTGATGGAAAGTACAGACTGGGGCACAAGCAACCACAGCACTTAAATTAATTGGGATTCAGTTAAGTAGTTTCAAGCAAAATTGCAAGTGTTAGTTTCTCCAATGTAAGTATTGTATTGGTATTGTTTTATACCAATACAAACTTAGTATTTTGGACTGTTGGTCACACTGAACAAGACAACTGGATAAGTTATTTAAGACTCTGGGAAACTGGGATGGACATTTTTATTATTATTATTTTCTAACATTTTAAAACTATTCTCCAGTTAATTGTATAAATAAATTAGGGCTGCAACAAATAATTACTGATTTATCTGCAGATGATTTTCTCAAATCATCATTCAGTCTACTAAACAATAAAAAAAACAATGCTGTCACAATTTCCCAAAGCCCAAATTGATTTCCTCTGATGTGTTTTTTTGTCAGACCATGAGTCCAAAACCCAAAGATACTCAGCTTACAGTAATGTTATGCAGCAAATTGTCCCATTTAAGAAGCTGGAGCCAAATATTTGGTATTTTTGCTTTAAAGACAACTTAAACAAGTGTCAAAACAGTCGCTGATTAATCTTCTGTTGATCAACTTGAAAATTAATCAACTAATTGTTGCATCTCTGAATTAAAATCATAGTTGCAGTCCTAGCTGTGTGGTATTTGCTGGCTGACACAGAACAAAACAACTCTTACAGTAGATTAACACATTTTGCTTTAACCAATAAAACCAATGAACCTTTACACAACCAAACATTGTGACTTAGTGTTGACATATTTGAACCTCATGGGAATCCTGAGCACACAAGGCAGCTTCTGATCCAGGATACCTGATAGGTATGCTCAAGTGTATGGACAAGGTGCACCTGAGGGTAAATGCACATGGTCCATGAACCATATTATCAGACTCTAATTTAATACATATCATGCACAGCAATTGTGCAGTCATTCACAGACAGGCTGAATACTCAGAGCTTCGAGGTGCTGAGTGCATATTTACAAAGCAACACACAACTACTGCCTAACTTATTGCACATGGCTGAGGATTTAGCTCCCCTCCACACACAGTATATCATCCCCTGTGTTTTGCCTACAAGATGGATGGCTGCACCTCCAGACACATCAGATAACCAGATTAGGGCAGCTTTAATTGGATTTTTAACAGCTTGGCAATGCAGTTAGCTCAAAGCATTTGACAATTATTTTGGGTAAAATCAATAGGAGACTGTCTGTAGGCCGTTGTGGCGTTTATTGTGTGTGTTTGTGTGTGTGTGTGTGTCTCTGTGGTCAGCTCAGTTCTGCAGCGTATCCATCCTGCTGCTGCAACAAGAGCCCCCTCTCCAGAATCACAGCACTGCAAAACATCATCCACGATTACGAGACCTTTACCACTCTATCTGCTTTTCCCCCCTTTGAGGGCAGAGATATCCAAAGAGACGCACCTACATCCGCAGAATGAAGTGCGGACTGCCCTGAACGCAGACACCCACAACGTGTTTTTTTTCTTTCTCTTCTCCCCCGAGACGAATTCATCTCGCGGTCCACAGCGCAAAACAGGGGACAAGGCGGGTGCACCAATTGTGAATCAACACAGTGGAGAAAAAAAAGCGTGCTTACCGCATCGAATCAGATTAATCCATCGGAGTTATCAGAGGGACTTTCGCTGACGTGTTTCTACTGTCAGTGTTTTTCCTCCGCACTGAAAGAGAACAGCGGTGGGAGACCCGTCCCTGCCGACACAGGGGCTCCTGTCGCCGCCGTGCGTATAGATGATGACGATGGCGACTAGTGTCAAGCTCACAATAACAACAATGCGCACTTCCTGCGGATTGTTTCAAAATAAAAGCCCGTGTTTTCAACTGTTTTTATGAAGTTTAAACGAGTAAAATCAAGGATTATGGGTATTTTTGTTGAGCCATAATTTATTTACCCTTTTAACGTTTGTTTAAAATAGTAATCCCACTAAAACAGCATTAGTAAGATTCTGATAACCACTACCAGTGCATAATTTAAAAATAGGGACTTGAGTGGTTTTATTTTGACTGCCAGACTTCGCTTTATTTCCGGGTTTCACTGTGATTGGACGCAGCTGTTGCGTGTCAGCGCACGGCTGATGCGGATCCACACCGACCAAGAGGTTTGATTGACAGCTGTTTTCCACCAACCAGAAATTACAATGCATAGTGGGACACCTCTTCGTCTTTGGGGTGACTGAAAACCAATGTTAGGCAAATTGTTTTCGTGCAAATAAATTGCAGCTCTTTGCTTTCTCGCTTTTTAAACTTGAATAATAAGAAAAGTTGCGATTGTAGGACTAGTTTTAGTGACATTCAGCAGCAGGTGAAGCTCCCTTGCTTCCTGAAAGACTGCTAAGTGAAATCACCTGCTGAGGTTTTGTTTTGGAATTAAACTCTGCATACACACTTTACCCTCTATGACACACAAATAACAACAAACTCGCTTAACTTTTTAATACTGAGGTAGTTAACTATCACTGCAAGCAAGTGAAACTGTAAAACGTGAGCAAAATTCGACCACTGAAAGGCAATTTTGGGTGTAAAATGCGATATGTGTTGCAATAATTAGGATAAACAGTCTTCAGCCAGGATTGAAAATTTTACTTTAAAAGGATTTAAAGCAATCTAAACCTGCTCAGAACCGTAATTATGAACCGCAATGCTGACCTCTGATCTCAATTCACTTACCATTTCTCCTGTTTACTGGTCTTTTCTAAAAGAAGCTACTTAAATGCAAAGAAACACTGTCACTCAAATACAGGAAGGAGGAGGACATGGGAAGAAATATAGACTTCGGTGACTTCCTCCTTAGGAACCAAACTATCCCCTGTATTATTTATGATCAGTCCATTCTGCCACTCTGTGGCTTGTAGCATATCAAACAAGGGCTCTGACTAATAATCACTGATTGATTTGTCTATAAAATATCAGAAAATAGTCCATCACAGTTTCCTAGAGTACAAAGCACCTGAAGGTGCCGTTACAAAGACCAGAGTGGACAGGCCACTCGAGTTTCTCACTGTAAACTATTTTAATTTGTGTGAAAATGTTTCAGTTAAAACATGTCTTATGTTCCTTTCTATGTGAAAGCTCATTTAATACTGGATTTTCAGACATTGTGTTTGTTTATAAAAGGAAATATGTATTAAAAATGTATGTGTGAATTGGTAAAAGAGGGTATGTCGGGTATTTGGTAAAGGATATGTGTGTTAAGTTGCTAAAAAGTATTTAATATAAACTAAAAATGCAAAACCCCCAATTTTTTCATAGCTTTCTCTCTGGACTATTACAGGGGATATTTTTTTACATGATTTACAGTGAGATGTTTAGTGAAAACAGCATGTTTAAGATTTTAGGTTAATTGCAAATGCTTGCAAAAGTTAAACAATTTCAGTTGCTCACACACATGGGACCTAGGATGCTGACATAGTACAGACATGCTGTACAGACATAGTAAACGTGTCTTCCTGACACGCCAAAGCTTTCTATATAAATGTCTGTGATGCATGGTGCTTTCTAAAAACATTTAATTCCCTTCTGGCTTTATCCTCCAATTTACATATTCACGACAGCTGCAACATAATAATTACAGCTTTGCATGTAATCGGAATATCACAACAATGAGTATGGCCTAGTTAGCCGTAGAGGGTGGGTGAAAGAAGTCACCCTAATCCTCACACTGCTGTCTGCACTGCTCAGTTGTGAACCCACTCTCAGTACTTCTCCAATATCAAGAGTCATGATCGTTAAAGCCCTCTTACTTGGAGGAGCCATTTTGGACTAGTAACCATGGAGATGTGGGTCATGTAGAGAAGGAGGAGAGAGGAGGCTTGTGGGCTGGTGGTGGAATGAGAGTACAGCAGGCTGCTGGAGTAGGCAGCAAGCAGCAGCAGCAGAGGGCTGTAAACTCTCATTATATCTGGGTCACTGGGATGCTCCAGCTGCAACAAGCAGACAAGACTCTATTATGCAAGAAGAGGGATGAGGGAAGTTGTAGGCATGGGGCTTAGACTTGCAGGAGATGTCTGTTTACTGAGTCTGGCATATGTCAGGAGGGTGAGTGATGATATAATATGGGGCCAGCTGAGAGCTGCTTTGTCAGCTCAGCTGTCCAAAACATAGTGTTGTTTTGGTATTTGTATACATTACTTTAAAGGTTGTAAGAAACGCTGGCTGATATTGCTGCAGCATTGCATATAAAAAAAAATACATGTCACTCTAAACTAGGTTTAAATATGAGTTATGTTTTACAAGTAACACACAATTATGTTTTGGGCTGTAAGGTATATTGTTGTATATACATATAATTACAAACAACTATTGTAGATATAGTTAGAAATAAAAATGAAATGTTTGCTAGTGCAGAGAACAAATGTTTTTAAACATAAAAAAATATAAACTGAACGTTATCTAATATTGTTTACCTCAGAACAGGGAGGACAATTATTTCTCTAATGAAAATACTATTTCTGCGAGCTTCCCACTGAAATCCCCCCCTGGACATGTTAAAGCTGAGTAAAAATCTCTGTCGTCATTTAAGACTGAAAAAAAAATCACCTTACTAACCTCTAAAGTGGATAATAAAACAAGTTGTTGGCCTTGTGGTTGTACCTCTCCTATTGTCCCCCTCCACCCCCCCATGTCCCCACCCCCTCGTTGGATTCCGGACTTGTCATTGGTGGAGAGTTTGTCGTCACAGCCCCGGCGCCCATTCATCAGTGGACTTGGGCGTTGTAACCCGCATCTCATTTGTGGCTGGGCCAATTTCTCAAAAGTTTGTATTTAAAAAAAAAAAAAAAAAAAAAAAGAAAAAAAATCGAAGGAATTTGTGTTTATTTAGCGCCTTCGCCGCATTTTGCAAGTTTTCACGTGTCTCTTCGGTTTCGGGCTGACTCCTCAGCTTCGGTTGTAGAAGCGAGTGTCGGCGTTTGGCTTCAATTTTTGGGAGGAAGCTTGCGGTCTTTGTTCATTCATTTGATCGGTTGGGTTCCTTTGTTGGACCAAAGGGGGAAAAAAAAACATGGGAGCACAAATCTCCAAAACCGCTGGGAAAGAGGAAGCTGCAGTGGAAAAACCAGAAGACGGAGCAGCTGTTGCAGCAAAGACAAACGGACAGGTGAGTTGTGTTTGCAGTTAAATCTTAGTTGCTTATGTGAAATTTCATCACAATTAAACAATGTGTTGCGTCAGTGGCGTCCTCCATGTTCTCTGTGGCGCACCCCCACGCTCACCGGCATTCAGGGAAAGTGGCCACATGTATCCATTTTCCCCAACGAGTGCTTGTTTTATGCATTTTGCAATGCCGCAGTTCAAAGGGAATCTTTGACTCTTCTTCAACTTTTTCTTTAAATTCATACGTGTCTTTTATTTTATCTTTTGCATATGTTGGAAACCGGGTTGCAAATTGGTTAATTTGTGGTTGAATTTAATTCATTTTTTAAATTATAATAAGCACATACTGGCGGTTCTTGGGCTGTAGCTTTCTAAGCATTGCGGCTGTTTTGATTCACCTGGTTTAAATGTGTGCAGCCGGGGGTCTGTGGCCGCTCTCCCTGTGGCATGGCCATTTTAAAAACGATACCACGCCTTTGTTGCCGGGATCAAGAAAGGAGCCACGTTTTTGCGCACACAAGCTCAACCCGCAAAACCAACAAATTATAAATGACAGAATGGGATGAGAGAAATACTGAAACACTATAATAATACGCACTATTGCACTAAAGGGGTCGTCAAAAGAAGGGGGGACCCCCCCCCAAATTCCTATGTTCCTTTAACGCCACGTTGACCGCCCCCTGCTGGATGCCGGCGGTACTACCGTCTAACAATTAGCCTACAGCTGAAAGCCACAGATCTGTCGTCACTCTCCTAGTAACAGATGTTGTTGCAGTTTCAGGGCTGTTTTCCTGTTGGTTACTATTAGTCTGCGATTTTAACTCCTTTCCTCTAAATAGGATAGTGATGTGCAATAATGAAATGTATTGTTTCCTTCCAGGAGAATGGCCATGCCAAGACCAATGGGGATGCCTCTCCGACTGGAGAGGAAGCCAACAAAGGTGATGCTCAGGCCAATGGCAGCACTCCTACTGAGGATGTGCCAAAGGAAGAAGCCGAGAAAGCAGAGGGTGCTGAGGCCGAAGGAGAGAAGGAGCCCACAGCTACTAATGGAGAGGGTTCTGCCAAGCCAGAGGAAGGCGCTCCATCCACCAGTGAGGATGGCAAGCAGAAGAAAAAACGCTTCTCCTTCAAGAAGCCGTCCTTCAAGCTTGGCGGCTTCTCTTTCAAGAAGACCAAGAAGGAGTCCGAGGAGGCAGCAGAGGAAGGTGCGGCACCAGCTGAAGGAGAGAAGGTGGTATCGGAGGAGGCAGCTACCGATGAAGCCAAACCAGCTGTGGCTGATGAGGAGGGAGCCAAGGAAGCTGTAGATGAGGAGCCTAAGGCTGCTGAGGAGGTCAAGGCAGGAGGAGAGGAGAAACCAGCTGAAGCTTCACCTACTGAACCCGAGATGGCAGCTACCCCAGAGGCCACGGCCACCGCCGCCGCTGCTGAGTGACCTGCTGGACAAGACACCGTTGAAGGAATGCGAGGACTTGTCTAAAACCAGGGATTTTTTTTGTTTATTTTTTGTTGGTGTTTGTTTACTCTTCTGCAACCATCTCATCCATAATGACTGCAATGTCCATGGCAGTGGTGGACAGGAGGTGTGCTGCTTCCTCACTGCTCACTGGTGCTTGCATTTGTGACATGGGTGAATGTGAAAGTGCAAATGTGAATGTTTTTCTACATGAAACCATGACTGTGTTGACACGTTGCTGAATTTGACATATTTAATCAAAGTATTTGGTGCTGGGCAATTGGATGTAGCAGCTAAAGCTGTGTCTGCAAGATTTGACACTGATATTTAAAGGGAAAGTCTTAAATGTTGTCTTTGCAGTGCACAGTTGTTTACAACTCTTTAAGCTCAACACTTCTGTGGATACAACTGTTCTAGCTCTAGTTAACTGTCAGAACAATAGGTGCTCATCACTTTCCATTAGATTCCACTACTTCAAAACTCTGTAGTAATGCACGTTGTATAGACTTTGATATTTCTGGTTTTATGACTGAAATGTACCTAAATGACTGACGTTTTTAACAGATTACCCATTGTAAATGAAGTTTTCTTTTTGTTTTTGTTTCTCACCATTTGTAAGATTGAATAAAATTGGGAGATGTTTTAAGCAAATTTAGCGTTAAGCTGTGATGACTACAACACCACTTCAATCTAGATTAGAAAGAACACAGGGGTTGGCTGCTCTTTTTGCAACATATAATGCAGCTTTGCCTTGTTCAATATGGAATAGAACATCTATGGTGTGAAATTTTTCCATGAGCTCATTTATTAACAGCAAAACTTGCTCCCCAATTACTTTTGATCAAATACAGGCTGAGTTCTTTGCTTTTTAGCACCCCCACTTGGTGCCTTAATGAAAAACAGAGGTGAAGAAGTCTGCAGAGAACTGTTATAAAACCCAAGTTGCAAGAACTTGCACTTGTCTGTAGGACATGGTTTATAATGTACATTATGCAAATTTTATAATCTTGACAAAACGAGCATCTAAAAAGCCAAGGTGTACTTCTAGCCGTCCAATATGTAGTGCGAGAGTGACTACATCTTCACAACTCCCCTTTCAACAGTTTCACAAATTAAATCTTCGAACAAAGGTGACATGATACCTTGCTAACTCTCCCATTTTACCCCTTCTTCCTATCACAAGCACATCTTTCTAGAAACTAATATTTAGTGAGATGTGCAAGCAGCTCTACAGAATTTTTCAGGAAATGACAGACTTACTCTGGGAACAACCACAAAATCATTATGCAGAGAGGTTCGGGGTGCTCTGTATTCAATTTAGTCACCTTAAATTATAGTGTTCGAAGCAAACATTTTTATGGTGCCCAGCGTTTGTGTCTCCAGCACAAACCTAACTGATGCCTGCACTCATCATAGACATGTTGCCATGTGGGATTCCTTCTATGAGACTCAAAAACCATAAAAAAAACTAATATTTTAAAGAGTAGAAGGGATTGCAGAAAACATCTACAGAGTATTTTTAGCCACCCACATCTGCATATGTGCTCATTTCAACCCATCTATTTCCTTTGCACCCAGTTTAACCCTGGGTGCTGCATCTTTTGTCACCGCAAGAAGGGTGTGCTTTACACATAATATTTCTATTTCTGCTTCCCGCTCTGCATGTCCGTCTTGGTCAGGTAATTGAGGGATTTGCTGCCAGTTTTGGCCCCCAGTGTGCCTCACATTGCAGCTGACAGCCATAACCATCCCATCATGCCACACTGCTCTTCTTCCTCCTTTGGTGTTTTCATTCCTTCCTGACATGGATACACAAGGATGTAATAAATGAAGACAGGTGAATATTCTAAAAACAAAATTATATCAAAGTGGGAGATTGCTTTAATGCAACAAATAATTTTAGAGTGTGGCTTGTGGAGTGTGCACCAACCACAGTCTCTGAATGGCAGTCCCTTAAGATGGTAATACCCAGCGGTTTCCTTCAACCAGCTTCCTCTCTGTTCTGTCTCTCGGGCCCCTCACCTAACCACCGTCTCGCTCTCTCCTAGGGAAGATCAAACAGCTGCTGTTCTGCCAGAGGACCATCCCAGTCCCTCATCCCACACGCCGACTATTTTCAGCACACCCATATTCAGACATACATGGTAAAGTAGCTTTTGTAAACTGTGGTTGCTATGTAGAAAACCAATAGTCGCAATGTGGGAAAAGATTCATATCTGTTATTCCTCATCTATCTCTGCTTCTATACAAGGACTAGTGGTGTGAAGAAACACATTTAATCAGTTACTGTTATTGAGTGCATTTTGTTGTTGGAATTTACTGGGCAAACTGGGACCACAAAGGCAACATGTCTACTGAGTGTCAACTGATTATGTCAGTTTGATCAACTGCAAGTTTGTAAGGGAGCTTGAGCCACTAAAGTGTCAAATAATGTCGGTCCTACATTATTAGCTACTATTGTGTTAGTTTATATTGTCCTTATATGATGTATATCTCTAATGAGGTTGTGTTTAATGAAATTATCCCAAACAAAAGTCAGTAAAAGTAGATTTTTGCCCTGCTGCCCCTAACAGGTTAGTTGAGTCACAGTATTTCTATTTTATTTTTCATTATACCTCTACTTTACTACATTTCAGAGGGAAATATTGTACTTTTTACTCCACTAAATTTATTTGTCACAACCTATGATGATGTATGGCACCTTGTTACAGAAGAGGCAACCCAGTACTGCATATTAAACAATACAATGCTTTAAGATGCAATAATGCAGTAAAGTGACCTTAAAGGGGTCATTTTGCATGATGAGTAATTTAAGTATTGATATTTAGATTAATTTTGCTGTTAGTACTTACTTTGAAATGACTTGTAATAGAGTTTAGTGAAGTAAAACAGATATATGAATACTTCTACCACTAAAATGGACTCATGAGAGTAATTTGAGTAATATGGCATGTGCCATATTTTTCTTATCATCTTCTTATAAGTTATAAAAGTAAACACTGTGGTCTGGCTTTGTGAATGCTACAGTAATACCTGTTCTTACTTATCACTATCTTATTTACTTATATTTTAGCAGCAACTAAATGCTTTGCAGAATTTGAAGTACATTCCTTTGCAGGTCATAAGTAATTTTGTAGTGCCTTAGTGGAGTTGAATCCGGTGCTAAACAGGAAAGCTTAGACTTGTGTTAAAGCTAACACGTTGGGGATGTCACCCTCTCTGCTGAAGTGTTCTGTATTTGACTGCTAACCCCAGACTAGTAGTGTAATTTTTTTTAAAAGAAAAGTAGTTAACAAGTTCATCTGAGACACAACATTCATTTTAGACAACTTTTATTTTGGTCATTATGCTTTATATGACATAATGCATGTTCAGGGATATAACAATGTTGCCAGGAAACAGTTTGTGTTTGAATGACAGTATGGTGACTTATCTCATTATAACACTCAATTTGACTGTTACCATTTCACAATATTCAAGTCACATACAAGATTACATCATGTTGCACAGAATGTATTTGAGTAGTTTTAATAAAATTATTGGTCACCCAAACAAAAACAAGATTGCACCAAAAACAAACAAAACGAAACAGAAAAACCAGACAAACACTAAATTAAGAATCACCAGATGAAGTCAGTATAAAAGGAACAGAGTGGAAAAAAGTCAGGATACAACACAGTTAGAACACCTAAATATCACCTGCTGTCTCCATAACAAAATCTCCCTGGTAACTTTGTGGATTGCTTTTCCCATCACTGATCACCTTTTTCATGAAATAGTTTTTCCTCCTTTCTTAGCACCTATTTCTTTTCATTTTCAAGTCGAGACGCTACTACTCCTCAAATAAGGGTGAACTGCCTGTCTCTTATGTTGAGGGAAAATAAACAGGGAGTTTACTTTAGTTTGAGAAATAGTTTGCAAATTTAGTTGGTTGGCTTTTTGGAACTACGGTATCAACGTATCACGTTGAAGCAATGAGGAACCCAGAGAAAGAGCAGTGGACATTATCAGCAGCAAAGACGCCATTGGCCTCTTCATCAGGGATCTGGACGTAAACTGTGTCATGCTCGTCGAGCAAGAGGACGGCACTGCCGGACATCTGGTCCAGGAAGCCTTTGTTGTACTCATCATAAGTGAATATAACAGGCTGGCCGTTCTTGTACAGAGCCACCAGGGCGTTAGCTCCATTAACATGAATGCTATAAGCGAAATAGTAAACCCCAGGAACCTGACAAGTGAAAATGCCTGTCTCAGGGTCATAGTGATTCTCAGCATTGTACACTATTTGGTCAAACTTAATGGGGCTGCCGGCAGCAGGGTAGGGGGTGGTCAGAGCTGCAGTGAAAGCAGACATGGGGGACTTGACCATAACCTCAGTCATCTCTTTTCCCTTCGCAAACACAACCTCACCAGGAGGACCTGGGGGACCAGGAGGGCCTTCTGGGCCAGGCTCTCCATCAGCACCAGGCTCACCGGGCACACCAGGGGGACCCTGAGGTCCACTGACACCTTTAGCAGCCAAACCAGCAGGGCCAGGAGCACCTGGGAGACCTGGATGTCCCTTAAGGCCAGGAGCACCAGCGGAACCTTGAGGCCCAGCAGGTCCTCTGGGACCTGGAGCACCATCAGCACCAGCAGCACCTGGCTCACCTGCACGACCAGGAAGACCTTTGGGTCCAGCAGGACCTGGAATACCTGGGGAACCTGGGATACCTGGGGCACCTGCATCACCTTTGTCACCTGAGGGTCCAGTGGATCCTCTGGCACCAGCAGGGCCGGCTGCACCTGGATAGCCCTGCTTACCCGGGAAACCCTGTGCTCCCTGATCTCCCTTGTTTCCCTTTGGTCCCTGAGCTCCAGTTGCACCTGTGTCACCTTTAGCACCAACAGCACCAGGTTCACCTGGAAATCCTCTTTCACCCTGAGGTCCAGCAGGACCTGTGGGGCCAGTTGCACCAGTAGCACCAGTATATCCTGTTGGACCTTGTTCACCCTTTGGACCTGTGGCACCTGGGCTACCTGGAGCTCCTGTCTCTCCCTTCTCTCCATTTGCTCCTGGCTTTCCATATCCGGGGACTCCAGGGGCGCCAGGGCCTCCAGCAGGTCCCTGGTGGCCCTTAGGGCCAACTGGGCCAGGCAGACCAGGGGCACCATTCTCACCTGATTTACCTGGAAGACCTACACCTGGGGCACCAGTGTGTCCCTTAGGTCCCTGTGGTCCCATGGGACCGGGAGCACCATCCCTACCTGGGCTGCCTGACTTTCCTGGTTCACCAGCTGCACCTGGTTTTCCTGGTCTCCCAACTCCAGCCGCACCTGGTTCTCCAGGTGGCCCCATAGGTCCTTCAGGTCCTGTCTCACCCTGAGGTCCAGGAGCTCCCACCCCTCTGTCACCCTTAGGACCTGGCAGTCCAGGTATACCTGGGTGTCCTTTCAGACCACTCTCTCCTCTAGGTCCCATTGGTCCAGGAAGACCTGCAGGTCCAGGCTTGCCAGTAGCAGAGAGGCCAGCGGGTCCAGGGCTTCCAGGAGATCCAGGGGCTCCCCTAGGTCCCTGAGGGCCAGAGGCTCCAGGTTCTCCTCTTTCACCTGGTGCTCCATGGCTGCCAGGTTTGCCAGGTCCACCTGGAGTTCCAGGTTTGCCAGCAATGGAGCGGCCTGGTGATCCAGGAGGTCCAGGAGGTCCTTGGGGTCCAGGCAGACCTTCAGCACTCTCACCTGGTTCACCAGGAGGTCCAGGAGGGCCCTCAGGGCCAGGCTCACCTGGAGGACCAGGCTCACCCACTGTGAAGAGTGAAAGAGAGACCATCAACAGTGTGACAAACAAAACAACAAGCCCAAAAAACTAATAGGTGAAAATGGACACAAACTGACAAGGTTTTGTATATTATTGTCAATATAAAAGCTACACTGTAATGTATTGTTATGATGTTGTACTAAAATTAAGATAACTACATAGAACACTGCTTGGATCAAATATATTAAGTATATATCACTAAACCTGTTGTTTAGTTTGCTATGACAGGGTCTAGTATCTGTAGTACTTCTAATTACATCCCACTCAAGTGACAGAAAGTACAAGAACAACGGCAGCTGTCTGATCTGAGTTTATGTAAGTAAAAGGTCGTCTGGGAAGAATCTTATTGAATAATAAAATGGAGGTCGACAACCAAATGTGAGGAGAGGTGAGAGAGAGTGGATGCAATACAGAATATTCACTGACTGATCCTGATTCAGAGACACACGATTCCTAATTACAGGTGGGATAAATTTTGACGTATGACTTCATGGTGCTGATTCACTGGCGTAATTTTGTTCTAATACTAATTTGAAAATCCTCAATAATTGACTGTTTTTTAAAAAATATATTAAATTTTTTATATAAGCACTTATTTAACTATTATGTAGAAATCAGCAATTTAAAAAAAAGTTATGTGTTTTTAATTTGCTATTTAAAAAAAAAAAACTTGACAGGTCAGTAAGAGATAGCACGTGACTTGTTTATGAAACAGTAGGTCTAAATTTAAAGAGGCTCTCTTTTTTTTAATTTTCTGCCTTAATGTGGTCACATGTGTTTGTGTGTAAAAAACTCACTGCTTGACTAACTGGAGCCAAGTTTGAATAAAACCAAACAGATGTTTCTAAGCAGGCACACCCAAGCAAACCACACTGCTGGGTGACTGCACTGTAATTGTCAGTGGCAAACTAAAAATGATCCACTAACAGCTGCTTTGGCTAAAAAAAGTGTTTTTTTCACACAAAAGCGGCATTTCATATTTTGCATTGCATTTTTGTAAACACTCCAGACCACACTATAATTAAAATTTTTAAAAGCAGGGAACCAGTTTTTCTTGTTTTGCGCAGAGAATATAAAATAATGTTTTTAGTGTCAGCAAATGAACAGGAACATTTCCAGTTTAAATGACTAACACTGAGAACATATATGCCAAATATGATACATTAAATGCATCAAATATAACAGCAGTCGAAATGTTAGAGGCTTAGATATTTCAGTGGTGCTTTTTGTTTGTATCATATTGATCACAAAATGAAAAATTTCTAAAAATCATTTCATTCAACATGTTGCTTATGCAACTGCTGTGGCTGAATAAAAAGACAAATAATAACTTCAGTCAAAACTACAAAAACAGTGGAAAAAATATTGAAATTAGGCCTTTCTGGGACTTCCAAGTCAAAAAAACAAAGAACTGAATAATTTAGCCTTGTTATTCAAATCCCAGATCTAAATGAACTATATGATTGGAGAAGCGTGCACACTGCTGCAGCCAATCAGAGCACAAGATCTAAGAGCAAGATGGAGTTCGGTTGTCAAAGTAAACTGCAGCTGGCTGAGGCTAGCATCTGTCTGGCTACTTGTGCTGCTCTTGTTGGCCACAACAAAGATGCTTATTCCCTTGCTGAGGATTCAAAAGTAATGATGCTCAAGGAAAAACAAGTGCTTAGGGAGCACAGCCTGACTTTAGATGCTACAGTTGTGAAGACAAATTTGAGAAAAGAAGGAGATGCTAGTTTAGTCTATTGTCAAAGCAAGTGTGTCTTCTTACCTTGGCTTTTCACAGTGTAGGGCTGGTATTGAGGGGCAGCCTTTATCACCTTCTTTATCACGTATCCCTTCCCATGAGCTGCCGTCAAGGTCGCCATGAGAAGGAGGATGCATGCTACTCGTATGTCCATCTTGCAAGGCCAAACCTGCAGTGGAAACAAGGAAACACTCATTGCAGCCTAACTCTCAAGGTACAAAATGTCAGCAAACTTAGGTTTTCTCTTGTTTTTGAGTTATTTTACAGAGCTACTGTCTTTGTTAAGTGTACATATTGTGAATCTTTACAGAAACTCGTGGATGAGTAATAAGACATTATAAGTTAGAATAACAGGTTGTAAAACTGAAATTTTTATTCAGTCAGAGCATCCAGGATCCTTCAGGACCCTATGAATATCACCCAGGAAGCTCCAAGCCAGTCATAATCTGTCCCTTCCCCACTCTATCATAGGAACCGGTGTAGGCCTAGACAAAGCCTAGATGTTGACTACACTCCTTTAAATATAGAACTGTTTAGAGAGGAAGACAAAAAACACATACCGGCATCCAAGGGTGGGAAAAACAGTCTCCTCAGCACCAGTGAGCTCCTATTGCTGCTGTGTATCCTTAGGGTAAGAGCACAACTGAGGATATGTTGCCCTCCAGTACAATAATGTGGGTATTTATACCATATCTACCCCTCACATCATAAAAAAAAGCCCCCACCATGCAAGTACCTCCCTCCTGAGAGCTAGGCTGTAATTAGCAGTTCTGCCCAAAGCGGGCATGTCACATCAGGGTGACTCCAGGTCTTGAATATGCAGACACATGATTATCACTTATTTCAGTCTTTTGCTGAGCTGGAAAATAATCATGTTCAAAGCAGCAAAATAAATAAGTAAATGAGTACATAAACAAAGAACACAAATGCAACCCTTTTTATTTTCAGCCTTGTTACGCTGATATTACAATTGTTCTGCAGTTTAAACTTTTTATGCCCAGGATATATTTATGCAAATGGATGTTTTAAGACCTCTGGTATAAATATGAAAAGAGTCCAAAGACATAATAAAAAACATAACATGTTGTGGCTATAAAAAAACAACCAGATTTGTTATGGTACCTGTGCTGCTCAACAGAGTTTGCACTGAGGATGTGCAGTACCAGGCTTCAAATTTACACCTTGTCCAGCCAGCTGGTGGAGACTCGCCTTTACTTTTCCTGACTGTCTGGGCACCTCCATGCCTGTCATGACAAGGTAAACATTAGGTTGAAATGATTCTGTTTATTCCTGAATTATCCCAATGCCTCCATTTCAGGAATTGGCATAGTGAGTTTTTCATTTATTTAGTTTTGTACATTTCCTGGGTATTATTTGGCAGTGTGTCATTGTGGCTGATTCCAGTCCCTATTTCAGGATGAAACGTTTTTCTTAAATTGTGTATTTTTGTATGTGTTTCAGCCTCAAAACAGCTAATAAACTATATAAGGGTCCACTGGAAAAGACATCTGGGCGTGTTTCTGTTCACGCTTGTGAAAGCAACCCTGTGTCCAACAGCTCTCGTGTGCAGTACTTGTGTTTAGACACCAGAGGGCAGGTGTTACTGTTGTAAAAGAACCTCTCCTTGGAGTGAGGTGCTGCTGGCTGTAGGGAACGGGCCATGTCCTTGTGGTCACTTGTTATTTTTGGCCTCCTCAAGTGCATATATATCACCAGAGGTTTCAGGCATATTCCTACAATTACAGCTAGTTTCTGTCATGATGTTGTATTTCCTCAATCAGCTCTGTCCTCCCGTGTTATCCTCCCTTACCCTCACCCTCCACCTTGCCTTGCTTACTTTGTGGTCCTCCAACTCTAATTTCTCACTTTCAAGTCAGCCACATAGGAAATGCATACACCCAAATAATCACATGTCCTCAAACACACACTCTATATTTCATCCCCAAATCTTCCTGAACATGGGATCATTTATGGAACATGTTCTCCCTGTATTATTGAGATGTATATACATAATGCTGACAACATGAGTTGCACTACTGAGGGCTTGACCAAGCTTCTATATGAGGCGTCCATACTTCACATGACTTTGACAGGCATTTTTCACTAAGGGTCTAAATAAAAATCCTGTATCATGAAACTTGTTAGATTTTTTTTATTTTTTGTAAATTAGACCAAATTATCTGCAATTTTCCAAAGCGCTACCTTCACTGGCTTATAGCACTTAATGTAATTTGTGATCTTCATTTCCAAATGTTTGAAATTCTGTTTATAAGTAAGATGGGCTTATTGTATTACACTGTACCTGGTTCCAGCCATGCTTGTCTCACAACAAAAATGTCTATTACATGGACATATGCGCGTGACATGTGCAAGTCAAGCAGGAGGGGGATTACATTTTGGCCAGTATCATAAATCACAAGTCATATTTTTAGTTTTGTGTTTGCTCTTGCTTTTTCAGCTGAGGAAAAGCATGTTTATCCAAGTATTCAGCAGCTAAAGCTTCCCATTTTGATTACTGGTGTTTTTTTTAAATTATACTATATATTTCCTATTATTTTAAACTCTTTTTATGCTCGTGCCCTACGTGGAGGCATAGCCATTCTGGTTTCATTCAAATGTTGATGAAATCACAGAGCAAGTTATATTTTATACTGTATGTTTATAGGTTCAGACAATTTCAGTTTATTTGTTTATAAAACATGGCTAAACCACTGCAACAGAGCTTCTCTATTTTTAGTCTGATGGTCTAAGAGCAATGATTCATCTCTTTATGCAAAAACAACAACCTACATGTGAGTCTGTCAAGAGCCTAAAACATGCATGCTGAGCCTCGGAAGCAGAGTACAGTATACTTTGTCTCGAGGAAGACTTAAATTAACAGTGTAATTTGGATGTTGTTTATAACATTGCAGTATGTATATTTAAACCTGCCACTGAACTTGTTTGAGAAGGACTCTGTGTCCCTCTGCTTATAGTGGAGGAACTGAAGCCTGTGAAAATGAATGGCAGGGCTCTCTCTGCTCTGCTCATTACAGCACCACAGCTGCTTAATGTGGTCACCACGCCTTGTTGCAATAACCATTAGGAATTTGGTTAACAGCCTTCAAACTCAAAGCACTGAGGTCGCTTTGCTCTCATATTGTCAGGATCCCTGATCATAAAATGTGCCCATGCTTTCAGTATCGTCACTTTATATGCGGAATGACATAAAAGGTTTTTAATGGATTTTGAAAAGTAAGAAAATGGCTAATTATGAGCACGCCACACCCAAAGTCACTGAGAGCAAATGAAAGCTGCACAGCTTCTTGTTTCAAGATTTACATCAGTTTGTTCTATGCCTGTTCAAGATATACAAGAATATATTGATGAAGAATCTTATTGTATGCAATAGACTGTTAAGAAAGAAGCATCGGAAGCTGTGACAGGGCAAAACATCTTCATCTGACCTTACTGCAAAGGACATAAGATAACATTCTGAGCTCCTGCATGTTGTTCAGGCCTGAATCCATATCTAACAACAGACCATAGATTTACTAAATCCCCCAGAGAGTGCTGCTGGACAGAGTTACTGGCAATGTTAGTGATGTTTTGCTTGTACTCTACAATGATAACAGTGCTTGAAGAAAGGTTTTTGCATTGTGTCTGTTTTTGTTCGCTCTGCTGCTCAGGAACTGATGTTTCTGGTTTCTTGGCCACGCTGACCGAGACTCAACCCACACCCAAGAGGAGCACATAATTGGCAGTTGATGTAAGAGGACCTGACCGAGCACGTGAATTAAACAACAGCTAAAGATACACCATCACGGCTGGGATACAAATTTAATGTTTCAATAAACTCCATGGACCACTAAGAGCTACTTTAAACTTTATGAACACGGCCCCTTGTGAGCGATTGGTGGGAAAATTACAGGATCCTGAAAACAAGCATGGAACCAATTGGAACCGGAAGTGTAAAAGTAACTGAAAAACGGCAGTGGTGGTGGCCTTGGAGATGAAAGCTGGCATCTGGGAAGTCACCAGTGTGCAACCCCAGAACGACAGGAAACTGGGGGATGGATGAGAAAGTAACAGTTGGGTGTCCTTCAACAACTCCCAGGTGCATGTAGCTGTATGAGCGCGATGCTGTGCGTTGCCATGCAAGTCAGATGCCATTAAAATGTTCAGATTTTCACTTATAATTACTCTGATAAGTTAGGCTTTTTATCACCGGTCTGCTCAACGAAGCTGCTGTCACACACTCTCCTGAACGCAAGAACTTTTTGCCAATCATCCAAGTCAAGGTCTACTTTTTCTGATTTGATCATTTATAGTTCCACAGTTCAATTTGTTGTAAGGTTATTTCTGGAAAGATCTGACTTAGCTGCTGCTTTGAGGTCATTTTCATAGTCTTTGTTTAGCCCAATGGTGCTTTAACTAGAAGGACTCAGCCAGACAGTTTATGAGCTACTGCAAAACAACCCACAGCGTTCTACAAAGGTAAAAAGGTCAAAATGACAGAGTTTTTTTTTCATTCTTGTTTCATCTTCCAGTAAAAAAATGATCTTTTTTTGCTCTGTTCCAAATCTCTTTAAAGTTCAAAAGTCCCCAGTCAAACAGAAGACAGACCGCTAGAAGTATCTGCTTATTGTGGGATCATTTAACGATGCCAAAGGTAAATAAAACCACCTTAATGGGATTTTTTGGTGCTTAAGTGTAGGTGGCAGAGTTCTGTATTTAAGGATAATGACTAATCTGCTACGTCAAGCCTGTGAGAATTTTAGGTTTCACTGTCTGTATCAGGCAGCGTCAGCCATTTCACTGCAGATGCCCCCCCAAAAAACTTGACAGTTTGTGCATTCTTTATCAAAGTTGCATGAAAGCAGAGGTGGATTTAGTTTGGACTTGTCAGTTCATAATTGCATTTGCCTTAAGCTCATACAGAAGCAAGGGGGATGATGCCTTCTGTGCCTGAAATGCAGAGCAACAACCAAGACAACGTTTGTACAACACAATGTCACCTCACTTGTTAGAGCAGCTAGTTAGCCATGCACCATAATGACTTGCGGAGAGACGAGACAAGTGTTGTTTCTGTACACTATATTTGGTTCCAGCCATGCCTGTCTCAAACTAAGTGTTGAGCAAAACGCTTAGTTAGCACCCACACAATTCACATATCTTTGCTCATGCTGTTTGTATATAAAGACATGACCACAGGACGTTAGTTGGAGTTTAATGTGCAGTATGCCAAAAACAATGTCCCATGGTCAAGGCTCGACCCTTTGTGGTTTGGAGGTTTGTTTTGCTGGTTGATGGGCATTGTGTGGGCTGATACTCTCAGTAACCCTAACTCTGTCTTAATGGGAATCTTTCCACATTATATAAACTAAGGAAACCATCGTGCCTACTCTCTAGAAATAACATATTAATAGTAATCACAATGCATGAAGTACTCTGTTTCATTATTCTGAAAGTCTCTCTCCATTAAGTGTGTTTCTGCCACTGTTATGTAGCCTGGGCATTTGACCTTCACTGTGTGAAGACTGATGGAGGTATGGAGTTTGACAAGCTGTTTTGACATACATCTGCTGAAACATTCAATTTTCCAGAACATGGCAGTGGCCAGTGCATGACTCTCAACCTGCCTGCAAAGAAACATATTAAACCAGTTGTT